GAGCCCTGGCATAAGGATGGCTAGGTCCCCTGGAGAACTAGGAACATAGGAGAGGAGGTCTGAGGAGAGAGGCTACAAAGTCCAGCACTCGGTAGGGGCAGGTGAGGTGCCAAGTAGCATTAGACACCCTTTGAAGCCATGCACATTCCCAGGTATACAATGCCCTTTGGCCACCACCAGACTTGCCCTAAGCCGGTCTGCATCCATGCCTTCTTCTCTTTCTTCCTCCCTATTCCAAGCCAGCTCTCTTCACCTTAGTGGAGATTTATTTGGGCACCTTTCCAGACATCAGTTCAGCATACATGTATCAGGAACCTGCTATTGACCAGGGACCAGCAAGTCACACACACCTTTAAAGATACACGGCAAAGGAGTAGCAGACAGTCTATAAATGTGTAATTACACTGCAGAGGAATAGCAGACAGTCTATAAATGTGTAATTACAGTGTTGGGTGACAGGGATGATAGAGTCGCCCAGGATACCCAGCACTGCACAGAAAGACAATTTTACGGTGGAGTCAGGGACTTCTTTCCCCTTGTAGTAGCGCTGAGGCCTCACTAGGCCTTGAAGCCTAATCGTATGGTGTTGAGAAGGTCAGGAACCCTGCAAGGCCGGGCTTTTCCAAGAGTCCAATGAGGCTGAAAGGTGTAAGAATTTCAGTGGGGCTGAGGTGAGAAGTCCTGTCTAAGTGTGGGGGTATCAATCCTGTCACACAATGATGTCCTTACAAAAGTAAGGACACATCCATCGCTCCTCTGGGATGCATGGGGGCCCCCTCTCTGAAGGCCATAGGTTGGACATGCCTATAAGAGAAATAGTGTAGGGTACAAGATGGCAGAGGACAGAAGTCACAAAGAGTAGACGGGGCTTGATCTTCAGTGACGCATCAAAGGAAATGCAGGGAGAAGCAGGCCCAGGTCTGCAGTTTGGAAATAGCAACTCTGAGGTGTTGCTTGGGAAATAAACTGGAAGAGGTAAGATTGGAAGTGGGCTCCAGTGTGGAATCCCAAGGAGACCAGACTGGGAAGAGAAGGGGGTGGGTGGGGGTGTTCAGGAGCAGGACTGATGGGGAAACTGATCACTTAGCAAACTGGTCTAGCGGAGACTGGAGGGACCAGGAGCCCCATGTGGGATACAGATAGGGGACCAATCTTCAATCACCCTTCTGGGTGAAGGAGCTGCCAGGGCTGGACTTAAAGGGCACACATTGTGCTAACTCAGGTGAGAAGGCCCAGAAAGAATTACCACCCCCTTTTTTTTTTTCAGTGTGGCAGAGGGAGGGGCAGAGGAGAGCAAACCCAGGAACCTACACAGGCTATTGTCTAGCCATGGACCTACACCCTAACCCAGAGAGTTAGTTTACTTGACAAAGGAACAAGAAAGCCAGGCAGGGTGGTACATTCTGTGATCCCAGCGCCTTGAAGGACGAGGCAGAAAGACCCCAAGTTCAGATAGCGCACTGTAACCAGGCAGCCGGAGCTACAGAGTGAGGCCCTCTCTCAAGCAAACAACAAACAACAAGGGACAAGACGAGAGGAGGACACTGGGAAAGGCCACCGACTGAGCGTCAAGGTTCCAGAGACCCAGGCAGCCTATGGACCCAAAGGATGAGAACTGGCAGCCGGTTACCCCTCTCCTGCTCCCCACCAGTGAGACTCAGGCCTAGTTCCAAGTACTAGGAATGCAAACAGGGTGAACAAGGCAGCTGTCCTTGCCCTTACTGGGGAGTCATACCCTAAAGAGGAACAAAGAGGAATCCATAGAAAAGATTCTGTATTTTGCTGACTGCCAAGAAACAATCAGGAGAGAGAACAGAGATGCGTTTATCTGCTTGTCTTGTATTGCTTGGTTTTGTTTTGAGACAAGGCCTCAGTTTGTAGTCCGGGCTGGCTTTGAACTCAGGAACTTTTTTTTTCAATCTCCCAAATGCTTGGATTATAGACCTGTTCCTCCTCTACAACAGGAGAAGCTGGAAGGTGGCTGTCGGGAAGGAGTCCTGGGAAGAAGAAAGAACATTTTAAAGCCCCAGAGGGAGAGTAGCTTGGTGAATAGCAAGAGACTGAAGAAAGCCACAGTGGTTGTGGGTGGCAGTTGTGAGACTGGAGAGGTAGACAGCCTCAGAGGTGGGGTCTGGGAAGCCATGGAATGGGCACTGGGCTCTAGGTCCACTACTTCTGTTTTAGTTTTCTTTTTGTTTGTTCGTGGTTTCGTAGATGGGATTTTTCTGTGTAGCCCTGGCTGTCCTGGAACTCGCTCTATAGATCAGACTGGCCTTGAACTCAGAGATGCGCCTGCCTCTGCCTCCAGAGAGCTGGGATTCACCGTGTGCACGACCATGCCTGGCCTTCTTCTGCAGTTTTCAGCTACTCTAGCTCTGGGGATTTTGTTCATTTTGTGGTGACAGAATTAGAGCCCTAGGCATGCGCTAAGGGCTTCACTGAGCAGCATCCTCAGCCCGTTCTATGGTCTAGCTTCTGAAAACAGCTTTGTTGAGGTGGATTTCCCACTCTGTGCAGTCGGCCATCTGCACAGCTCAGTGGTCTTTAGTCGGCTGTGACTAATGTACAACCTAGGGCGCAAACCGTTGGTCACCACAACAAGCCATTACTCACGCCTTTAATCCCAGCATTTAGGAGGCAGAGGCAGGCTGGTCTATAGTGTGGGCAACCAGTACAGCCAGGACTGTCAAAAAACAAAAACAACAAAACCCCACAGGCCCACATCTGGCAAAGTGGCACATACCCATAATCCTGTACTCGGAAGGTAGGAGAAAGAGTATGAGGGATCCGAGATCATCCTCTATTGCATAACAAGTTTGGGGCCAGCCTGAGCTACATGAGGCTTTCCTTCAAAAAATAATAGTAGTAGTCAGGCTAGTTCTAGGACAGCTAGGGCTATTAAAAGAAAGAAAGAAAAAAAAGAAAAGAAAAAGAAAAAAAGTAGTCATAAAAAGAGCAAGAAAAAGTCACGTATCCTTTAGCTATCACCTCATGTTCCCATCATGCCTCGCCTCAAGCCATCAATAACCACTTGCTGTCTCTGTAGACTGCCAATTCCAGGCATTTCCTATGCACGGGAGCATGCAGTATGTGCTTCTTTCACTTTCACCCACATGATAGCAAGCAACTCTTCTTTATCCCTTCCAATAGCAGAGTAATGCTCACTGTATAAGAACACATTTGTTCCTCTGTCCCGCAGCTGATGGGCACTAAATGTCACTTTATTCTTTTCTTGGTTGTTCGTTTTGGCTTCTTGAGACAGAGTTTCTGTGAGTAGCCCTGGCTGTCCTAGAACTAGCTCTTGTAGACCAGGCTGGCCTTGAGCTCAGAGAGATCTGCCTGCCTCTGCCTCTTGAGTGCTGGGATTATAGGCCTGTGCCACCACTGCCTGGCATATTCTTTTCTTGTTGCATAAGAAATTTTAAATTCATAACCCATGAGTCTGTGTCCTGTCACTCATTTTTTATTGACCCAAATAATGCATGCATATGAATATATGCTACACTATATAATCAGGACACAATAGTGACAGAAAGAGTGAAATGAAGATCCCAACTCTTCTGCTTCAGAACTATCCTTTACTCTCCCCAGAAACAACCACCAGTGGCAATTTGCCCTGAAACTCTCGGGTCACATATGTTAGATCTCACCATACAGTCCCTTATTATCAGTGTGGGTGTCATAGGGCCATGGCTCCTCCCATACTCTGGGCCATACCTCTCTGGGTAAGGTGGACCTCACATGTATATAAACTCAATGGATTCTTGAGAGGTGTGGGGAGGCTTGTAAAAGGACTTTTACTTATCCGTAAACATCCACATTCAGGTATGGATGGGACAGTGAGTGGCTGGGAAGAGGCCAAAATCAACAGTTCCAGCCCTCTGCGCTATGACCGCCAGATTGGGAAATTTACAGTCGTCAGGGCGGGGCTCTACTACCTATACTGTCAGGTAAGCTCTGCCTGGCTCCCTGGGCAGAGCAGTGGCCAAGGGGAGAAGCATTTGGCTTGGGAGGTAGGAAGGAGGGCAAGGTGTCGGTGGGAGAGGGAGACTCTGGGTCTGATGAGGGAAGAGATGCCTGGATTTCTCAGGAAACTGGAAGTTAGGATGAGGCAGGCGGAGGCCTGGATGGTGCATGTTCTCTTTCTGCCCAGGTGCACTTTGATGAGGGGAAGGCTGTCTATCTGAAGCTGGACTTGCTGGTGAATGACGTGTTGGCCTTGCGCTGCCTAGAGGAGTTCTCAGCCACAGCAGCCAGTTCTCCTGGGCCCCAGCTTCGCCTGTGCCAGGTCTCCGGGCTGCTGCCCCTGCGGCTAGGGTCTTCCCTGTGGATCCGTACTCTCCCCTGGGCTCATCTTAAGGCTGCCCCCTTCCTTACCTACTTTGGACTCTTTCAAGTTCACTGAGGGGTCCTGCTCTCCCAGACTCCCTAAACTTTACCCAGACAGCTCCCAGAGCACCCTGACCCCTAACTCTGAGCTGCGCCAGTCAAGTCCTCTCCTCTAAAGGCATTGGGGTTTGTTCACGTGTTTCCCACCCCACAGAAACATTCCTGTTCCTCTTTAACACCTCATCCCACCCCAAGTACCCACCTCACAAAGCCCCACCTTTCCTTGATTCTCCCGGCCCCAGCCCCCAGGACACTGTATTTACTGACTGTGTGCATTGGGCACTGAGATGGGCTGGACCTGGTGGCAGGAAGCCAAGAAGCCTGGGACTAGGCCAGAAGTTCCCAAATGTGAGGGGTAAGAGCCTTCAACAAGCTCCTCCCTGGATCCCTGTGGATTTTGAAAAGATACTATTTTTATTATTATTGTGACAAAATGTTAAATGGATATTAAAATGAATAAATCATGATTTCTCTCTTCTTTGGGGACCAGAATCACTGAAAGTCATGGGAAGGAAGTTTAGGTATTGGGGGGCAAGAGCCTGCATGTCTCCAAGCTGCAGTTCTGAGCAGAAATCACCCAGGTATCAGAAAAAAACCACCTGGTCCTCGGCTGAAGGTAGAGCAGCCTCGGTCTTGGTCTCATTTCCCTAGCAGGCGGACTTCCTCCTGCAGGGGGAATCCCTGGCTGGGAGGAGCAGGGCCCTTCCTCTTGGCGGCTGTAGAGCGTTCAGCAGTTCGGCAGGTGCAGGCACAGGCTCTAGCCAGGAGCCAGGGTGGGAGCTGGCCTGGAAGGGAGCTCAAAACCATAGGAAGGACTGCAGGGCTGAGTACCAGGCCTGGGCCCCTGGGTCTGGGGAGGAGAGCTGCACTGGCAGGGGGGCTTGGTGCATTTTCTTTTGTCTCTTTGTCCAGAGAGCCTTATGTAAGAACTCTTCTCGGGAAACAGGAAGTCCAGCTTGCCAAGTTCAGCACAGGGAGTAGTGCAGGCCTGGTTCCAACACACCCGGCCCAGCCTTCACCCCAGCACCCTGCCAGTTTCTCGTCCCTGGTTCTCTTCCCTGCTGGCCCCTAAGCCCCTCTTTTCATCTTCAGTCACCTCTAATAAGCCTCCTCAGAGATCTCGTCCATGCCTGAGTCAGAGGGTCTGCCACATTCACCTTCTAAACCTCAATGCTGCCCAGCTTATACCCCTTCCCTGCTCCTGGCACCGTGCCCCATAACCAACCGACCTTCCCTCCTCCAACTCAGGGGCCGCCCCTGGGCTCCTGAATGCTGGCCGCTCCTTCTGGGTGTCACAGGCCGCTCTGGCCTTCCTAGATAATTGGCACCAAATTCTCTTGAGGCTGGGAGGGGGGCGGTGACGGCGTGACACCAGCTCCACAGTGGGGGCTAGGGGTACTAACAGTGCCCCTAGTTTGCTTTCTTCCTTTCTCTTTTTTATTCTCAAGTTCCTTTTTATTTCTCCCTTGCGTAACTGCGCTCTTTCCTTCCCTGCCTTTGCCTGTATTCCTACCCTCCCTGCTACCTCCTGGCCACCTCATTTCTGAGACCACAGCTGTTGGCAGCGTCCCCAGCTCATGCCAGCCTCATCCCCAGGCAACATGGGGGGCTCAGTCCGAGAGCCGGCCCTCTCGGTTGCTCTTTGGTTGAGTTGGGGGGCGGTTCTGGGGGCTGTGACTTGTGCCGTGGCGCTACTGATCCAACAAACAGAGCTGCAGAGCCTGAGGAAGGAGGTGAGCCGGCTGCAGCGGAGTGGAGGGCCTTCCCAGAAGCGCGGAGAATGTCCATGGCAGAGCCTCTGGAAACAGGTGGGTAAGGGGAGATGGGAGTCTCGGGGTGAAGGCAGAATGGCAGGGGGGGGGGGCCTCAGGGCCTCTCAATCTGCAAAATTTCAAGTAGGTGCAAGAGGTGGCCCTGGATTTGGAAGTCAAGGGAACAGATTCCAGGAAAATAGACTGTTAAAGATTAATGTTTCTTGTACCAAGAACGCCCTGGAAAGCAGTCAGTGCCCAGACCAGGGCCTAGGACAGGTGCAGAGATTTGGGCTATTCCTGGTGTTGTAGAGGGCCGCGAATGAAGACTGTCTGAGACCCTGACATCTTTAGTCAAACATCCCTCTTCCATGAGCAGTGTCCTGATGTCCTGGAAGCCTGGCAGGATGGGGAGAAATCCAGGAGAAGGAGAGCAGTGCTCACCCAGAGGCGCAAGAGTGAGTGAGCTATGGGGTTCAGCAGGGGTGGGAGGTGATCCAGAAGCATGGGGGGGGTGGCTGCCAGAGCTGAGGTGAGGGCAGAGGGTGGACTCCAGGGGAGGCCAACACTGTGATTCCCTCCTTCTCTCCTTAGAGAAGTACTCAGTTCTGCATCTTGTTCCCATTAACATCACCTCCAAGGGTGAGCACTGTTTTCAATAATGGCATTGTGGGAAGGGCACCAACCAGGAACTGTGGGGCTGGGGCCAAGAGAATCCTAGAAATGAAAAGAGGGAAAGCTCGAAATGCTGACCTGCCACACTCCTCACCTCCAGTGGACTCCGATGTGACGGAGGTGATGTGGCAACCAGTTCTTAGGCGTGGGAGAGGCCTGGAGGTCCAAGGATACGTTGTCCGAGTCTGGGACACTGGAATCTATCTGCTATACAGCCAGGTAACCCCAGACAAGCCCTGAGCCCACCATGTGGACATGCAGGCTGGTTTGTTATTCTTTCTTAGGGACCCCGTAATGAGAGTTTTCCTGATTCCTCTGCTCATACCAGACTTAGGAGACCCCTCCTCACTCCCTTGCTCCTATAGCAGGACTCCTGAGGACTCCCAGGACTGAACCTTGCATTCCTGGTTTTCTTCAACATCTCCTCCCTGCCCCGACAGGTCCTGTTTCATGATGTGACTTTCACCATGGGTCAGGTGGTGTCTCGGGAAAACCAAGGAAGCCGGGAGACTCTATTCCGATGTATCCGAAGTATGCCCTCGGATCCCGACCGTGCCTACAATAGCTGTTACAGTGCAGGTGAGGACAGGGCCAGGAAAGAGTTAATGTGAACAGAGCTGGTCCCCTCAACTCAAGCAGAGCTGACTTGGTGTGCAGAGTTACAGTAGAGTTGGCAACTTGGTGTGGAAGCGAATCCGAAGACTAAAGAACGAGATGCCTAGGTCCTTACAGGTAGAAAAAGCCTATGAGCCACAAGGTTCTTAGGAAGCTGAGGTGGGAGGTGGAAACTGAGCTGAAGTTCAAGGCCAACCACGGTACAGTGTGGGGCTGTCTCAAAAGTGAAAAGAAGAGAGCCGGGCGGTGGTGGCATACGCCTTTAATCTCAGCACTGCACTCGTGAGGCAAAGGCAGGCGGATCTCTGTGAGTTCAAGGCCAGCCTGGTCTACAGAGTGAGTTCCAGGTTCCAAGGCTACACAGAGAAACCCTGTCTCGAAAAACCAACCAAACAAGAAAGGAGCAATGATGGTTCAATTAGTAAAGGTTATTGTTCCATCCCTCACAGCTCACCACCTGAGTTTGATCCTCAGAACCCACAGAGAGAAGGAAGTAACTGACTCTCTCCCAAACTGTCTAGTCTCTGCACATGCGCATGACATCCCCCCACCCCCATGAAAACATAAAATCAAAATGGAGGATGGGCTAGAGCGGGCAGTGAGACATTCGAGAACTTGTGTGGCTGTGTTTCACTGAGCGTCTGCTCTCTCGTTTTTTCCTCAGGTGTCTTTCATCTACATCAAGGGGATATTCTCACTGTCAGAATTCCACGGGCAAAAGCAAAACTTAGCCTTTCTCCGCACGGAACCTTTCTGGGGTTTGTGAAACTATGATTGTGCTATAAAAGCGGTATGGGCCATACTGGAGACTGCAAGAACTGGCTAGACAAAGGAAAGCAAATGGTCAAGAATGGCCCTGCTTGGGTTTGAATTCGTGACTCTCCGTCCTCCCTCTGCCTTTCCCGCCCCCACTCTCTGGGCTTTGACTTAAAGGCTATTAAAAAGGTAGAAGATTTTGCGTTTATCTTCCACCCAGCTCCAAATTCTTTTGTTGTGTGTGTTAGGGGGGTTTCGGCGAACTGTGCCAAGCCTTGTCCACTCCGACGGAGTCCACTGGAATGCATCCAGAACTGCACCACCACCTAGCGGCAGCTTGACGAAAGAATACGGCCTCCTCTAGGGAAAACCCGTGTCTCTTGGCCACGCCTCTTCAAGTGCCCTCTGCTTCAATTTACAAGAACCCTGTTTTCACCCTGTTTCTATTGTGTCAGAGTACTTGTTATTATCTAGAAGAATGTATTCATGGTGCATCGATCTGCATGCCTTCCGTGCTCCCCACCCCCCTGGTAGACTTCCAAGCTGGGGATGGTGCTTCACGCCTATAATTCCGGTACTAGGGAGGCAGATCTGAGTTTGAGGTCAGCTTGGTCTAAGCTGCGAGTTCCCGGACATCCAGGGTTACATAGTTGAGCCCCTCTCAAACAAACAAAATAACAAAAGATTGGAATGGTGTCCGGGAAGTTTGTATGTACTGGACGCCCTGGCAGTGTCTCACTTCTGAATCAAACCCTGCGTAAAGTTTAAAAAAAGAATGCGTGTCGGTCCCCATGCCGCCTCCGTTTCCCCGAGCGGCAAGCCTACGGCCAGTCCCCGTAGGCCGCCTGACATCCTCGGCCATGCTCTGTGAAGCCCACCGGATTAGCCCCGGCTCAGGCCACCGAGGAACAGAGAGCATCGTGCGGCTCCGACGTAGAGCGTGAGGCCGGACGCGACACGCAGACGTAAAAGGGCGAGCAGCGGGGCTGCCACGCGCGGCGAGCCAGGCATCTGTGCGCAGGCTCGGCCCCGC